ACGAAAGGCGAATATATACAGACATGCCAAAAGGCGAATATATACGGACATGCCCAAAGGCGAATATATACATACATGCTGAAAGGCGAATATATACAGACATATACCGAAAGGCGAATATATACAGACATGCCGAAAGGCGAATATATACAGACATGCCGAAAGACGAATATATACAAACATGATGAAAGGCAAATATATACAAACATGACAAAAGGCGAATATATACAGACATGCCGAAAGGCGAATATATACAGACATGCCGAAAGGCGTATATATACAGACATGCCATAAGGCGAATATATACAGACATGCCGAAAGGCGAATATATACAGACATGACGAAAGGCGAATATATACAGACATGCCGTAAGGCGAATATATACAGACATGCCGTAACGCGAATATATACAGACATGCCGAAAATAGAATATCTATACCGACATGTCGAAAGGCGAATATCTATACTGACACGTCGAAAGGTGAATAAGCTGAAAGGCTACACACCCTGTAAAAAGGTAAACAACCAGACAAAATGATGCAACATAAATTATTCACATTAAATACATATTTACAAGATTACTTAGTCATGACAGATCGCACTGCGACCCCACCCAAATTCACTTTTATCGGCAAGCTTGATAAGCTTCATACGACGAGAAACCAGAACCACACCTTTCAGAGAGTGTCTTTGGCTTTCTCCACAGCATTTTTAGTAGTGGCATCCATGACAGTATGCAGGCACTCCATCACCACCTGCCACGTTTTGCCGCCGTCCCAAGAGCTTCGCTATTTTCTTCGGACAAGTCGCGCTTAAATTTCGCTAAACGGTCTTCTACCACGGTGGTAATATGCTAGTAACATCGTCGAGCAAGTCCTGGTGTTGGTGGTGTTGTTATCTGTTAGCTGATGCCTTTCATCAGTGTGAACATCGTGAGTTGTTTGCAACCGAGACTGAATACAATGGAATACTCTTCTTACTATATACTCATGAGCACCTGGCTACTTAGCCACTAACCAATCGGAGCAAGTGCAATGGCACCTGAATAATTTACATACGAATAGATAGCAATTATCTGCTAATCTACGAAACGCAGATAATTTATCATTTCTTTTAACACTACAACAATAATGTTGTTTGCAGATACATTACCCTCTAAAACATCATGGGCATGTTTATAAATGATTAAAAGTGATCATAATGGAATGTTTTTAAATTACATAATATACTGCATATTTAGACTATCATACATGTCACATGCTTTTCCAGAAACTTATTAACAAAATACTCTGTCTTGGTTTTCAGCTGCCAAGACTGCATTACACATGTTCCAACTTAGCAAGGACACAACAAGCAGAGAAAAAGATCTCTTCAAAAGCGTCAGAGTATGTATTGTACTTACAATTTATTTGCTTGCAACCATGGTTACCTACTATTAAAAAGATAAAATTATTTGTGATTTATTCCGACAAATTTCTATTTGAGTTTAGATGGCGAGTTTACTACATACAGCAAATGCTTCTCATAAAATGATCACAGTAATGTTTACAACATTAGAAATTTATGAATCATTTCCTCTACCGGCAGTGACAAAGCACTTCAGTGATGTCTAAAATGACATGGGTGTAAATTAGCCCTTGACTCCATGACTCCCTGACTCCCTTTGGAAGATTCTATGCTTGAAAATCTACTATATTATGAGCATAAATCCATAAAAATCATGACTTTTATCACATTTGTGTTTGTATTTGAATTGCGATTATTTTGCAAATTTCAACAACTAGTTCATTACACTGACAGGAAATGTGTGAATTTATGATGTTCGAGAATGTTCCATTGTCATAAATTATGAGTGAATAAAAATTCTGTTGTCGTTTTAAATTTTAGAATGTACCGCTACATACTGATCATGATGGAGGTGGGGTTTGACAAAGTCAAAATCATCAAAAAACACTCCAAACCGCAACCGTTGTATGCAAGAAGTGTTCTAAAGTTGTCAATATATAACTTTGAATTTGTTAGACACCTACACACAAAAATATTCTCTAAACATAATACCTATATTTTTTTAAGGGATAATTGCAACTCAAAAGTAATATTGATTTTGTGAATGGCAGCATCTCTGTCACAGAAGGGTTACTTTGTGAATAGCAGCATCTCTGTCACAGAAGGGTTACTTTGTGAATAGCAGCATCTCTGTCACAGAAGGGTTACTTTGTGAATAGCAGCATCTCTGTCACAGAAGGGTTACTTTGTGAATAGCAGCATCCCTTTTACCCATCTATGTCCCAGGAGAATTATTTTGTGAATGGCAGTGTCCCATTTACAAAAGTGCTACATGATACACTTTCATGGTAATAAAATGTTTCTTTTTTCTCCTAAGGACAATGATCTTTCTCGTAATTTGCCTGGGAAAGTCAAAGTATCAGCTCCTAATCTACAGAAAATGAAAAGGAAATAACTGATGTTTAATAAACATAAATAATATTTAAATTGAATAAATGAACTTGTTGACTTATTTCATGTGTTGATTATTAATGTGTTGTCAACATAGTGTATGCAGTTGGACTTTTTTTTAATGAGTTAGTTTCTGTGGTTACAACAGTTATTACCAAATTTACACTCTACAGGCATATATAATTTAAATTAGCCCAAAGCTATTTTACATGCTCTAGCACTCAACCTTCTGTGTGGAAGAGTCCTCAAAACTCTACTAATGTATTCTGTCGTCCATTTACATTTTTATCCAGTACATCAAACAGTTGTTTCAATAAAAAAAAACTTTAGTGCCAAGTGTATCATTGGATGTTGATCATCCCGACACACCAGGTCAGTCTTCCTCCTTAGTGGCCATTTTAAATCAGATCTGTAAATGTCTATGTGCCACGATGTTCTATTTTGAATAAAATCCATCAATAGGGATGTTTTAGGTTCAATCGACATTCACCATAACACTGTTTGATTACATCAGTGTAACTGGCAGTAGAGATTGATGCTCACAAAGTCTATCTTTACTGTCAGACTATACAATAGTTGATAGAGCCCTTATACTTCGCTCACACCCCCAGCAGTCTTAAAGTGTCTGCTATTTTCTCGCCCCAAATCATTTATTGGTACATCAATATTATTATTTAAGAACAAAAAAATGAAAAAATGGGTTTCAAACCCAATCTATTCAAATTTTATTTCATGTATTTTAAAACGAGGCTCCTCATTAACTTCTCATTTGCATACTCAAATACCCCCTTGTGACGTATGAAGGGGATCTTGCTTGTCAGCGTGCATTACCGATAACATTTATTATTTAATTATCTCATCTTTGACTTAATTGCCACTTGTGTATTTGTTTCTCGAGGAAGAGTGTACCATAAAGAACACATATTATCAAGTTTATCGTACAGAGCCGAGTTAAGATATGAAATATATTCCTGCTGGTCGCCGTGATCAACCGTGTACTGCATAATCACAGTCACTTGTATTGTGGTCGATGAAGTTGGTTGAAGTGCCGACATCTATTGCCATGGAACTCTCCACGATCTCTGTCTGTTGATTTGAGTTATCGTGATTATCATAATTACATCACACTTATGCAGATCAAATTATAGAAATGTGAAGTCGGCATAATTAAAAATAATTGCGCGAGAATGCTGCATGATTTCCTGTTTGGTCAATGCATTGAATTTTGCGTCACGTCATTGCTACCTCTTTCATAAGATGAACTATATGGTCTCTACAAATCGTAATTTAGATTCCCAAAATGTTTGAAATACTTACCCAAGCTTCTCTCTCTTTGAAAGCCGACGCGTTGAGAATGGGCTGGTTCGGAATCTGGTTTTATAAAAAGTCTTAGTACTGTGCAAGGTTTAATTTTTAAGTACTTGTCTTTAAATCCAAGTTTTTCTTTTATAAATGATAATAGTTCTCCGTAGGAATCTATGGTATATATATGTCCATTCCAACTTTTTTTTAATTTATTTTACGGCTTTAGTCTACTGATGTTGCACCTTTGGAAATATGTAAATTCTGACACTATTCCGCCAAAAATATGTTTTAAAAAAAATCGGGCTGAAAAATATATATAGTTATCATTGTCATAAAATGACGCAGTATTATAAAAGTATAGGACAAGAGTATAGCTTCCTCTCATATTTTGGCATTTGGTGGCGCACTTTAACTTCGGCTAGAGTCAGAAAGCCGGAAACAGTCCATCATTTCAGAATAGGTGGGCATGGCTACAGCACTAAAAATATCTCAAATTTACTTGGATACAAGTAATAATTTTCAACCAAAAATTCAATAACTGTCTATTTCAGTTGAACTCAAATCCAAAACGGGAAATGTGTGGTTGAGCATTTCACAGGCACTGCAATTCATACTTTTCTGCCACACTCAATTGATCAAGAAACAATTTAGTTTTTTATAGTGTCTTGGCCCATCAAGCAGAATCATGTAAGTGACAATCTGTCAGAGTCCACTGGCAACACTCACTTTTGTGGACCAACCACTTCTTTGGAGCCGAGAACTTAGAGGCTCCGCAACAAGGCAAAAAACACAAGCATCACATATTTTGGAGCAAATTATTTAAGAACTGACTGCTCCAAACTTGATTACAATGATCCTGTTACACAGCTCTCCACTCCTTGCCAAGTACCGTAAAATCTGTATTAGAAGCCGCATCCCCAATAGAAGTCACGCAGATTTTTTTTGTGAACAATTGAGAACCAAAAACTCTTCATTTTTCATGTGTAGATGCGAGGGCTTTTTTTAAACAAGGGAACAGGGGTGCACCGCCCTCAAGCCATGCGCCCCTTACCCTGGGAAGCAGTTCCTATGGCAACCATAAAATTCATGAATCACATGTGGCCACAGTCTTCCACTGTGATCTTTCTGACAGTAATTTTGGCCCCAAGGAATCCATAGAATGCTCCATTTTAACTCCACAACTTGGTAGGGAGAAATCTATCTCCCCCACTTGGTGGCGCCGCTGAATTGCAGTGCCCCCCTCTTGCAGATTTTTTCTAGAAAAACCCCTGGATGCTCTAATAGAAACCGCATCCATTCTGTTGCATTCTATCATTTTAATAGAAGCTGCAGCTTCTAATACAGATTTTACAGTACTACAACTGCCTCAAACAAAACGAATAAAACAAAAGTTGGTAATAATTGACTTTATTGTCTCAGTGGTTTTTTTTTGTCTTTCATAGCACTCTAATAAAGATGACGGCTTCATAGTACAACATGAGAACTTTATACAAAATAAAAAACATTAAAAACTCAAAAAGAAGTTGGATTTACCTGTCTAATACTGAAGCTAGCTTGAGGTTTGACTCCTCACATCAACATACTATATATAGGAGTAGACATTTAGCTATCAAATTTCCAGTGATACGAGTAGTCACACTCCTAGCTCAAAATCCCAGCATGAAGGAAAACGTACACAGGCTGAGAGTTATCCAAGGATATGTCATCAACTGAGCCAAAAACTTTGGAATATGTTAGAATCCACATCATGAATTAAACTATAGTGATCCACTCATGAATGTTAATTGTCTGTAAAGTATCGGAAGTGTGAGAACCAGTCATAATAGGTCTGTAGAGTGATGGAAGTGTAAACAAAATTTGCCACATGATTATCATCCTATTTAATAACTTTAAATAAGTACATTAATAATTGCATGGATATGAAAATGAGCCAAATTTAATGTCTTCAGGTTTTTGTCGCTTCTGATCTTAACATTTAGTGATCACGGTTATTATTGAGTACAATTACACTGGGCTTCCTGGAAGATGTGTTACATATATCCTACTCAACAGACACTGTGTTTTCTATTTGAAGTTTCACACATTACTACCAAGCATCTTCAGTCAATAATTAACCTGTCTGATACATTTCACATCAACCAAACCCACAGTTTGACCTCATATACTAATATATATATATATATATTGCATTGAGTGCCGGTAGTATATGTACGAGATAGTGGCTTTTTGTCTCCATTCCCTTCACATCAAAGGGCCAGTCATTTCCTTCACAACAATCGCAAGTCTTAATAGTATACGGTCAACTTTTTAAAATCAAGAGTGTAGGTTTTTGTTCAGATCTTTATGCTGGTACTTTTTTACCAGCATGTACGCACAGTTCTTCTTTCCTCAAAATATCAGCAAGCGAAAGATTTCCAATAACGATATATTCAGAAATTGGAAGCAAAAGGCAGCACACACGCCTTCACAAATTGAGTTGTCACATTTCACTTTGCTTACAGCTGCCACAGTAAATATACATACATGTAAATAACATTTACTGATCCTTTCACATTGTCAAATTTCACTCCTCAAATTTCAC